AAAGCACAACCGACACATCACAGCCACTTTGGAGCAAAATTTTGTACTAGGAAGATTAAAAATTTTGGTTATGCCCCTATTTTACTATGTATCATCGTCATTCTCGTGATCCTCTTCATCAACTCAGTTCTTGGAGGCAAGTTATCTTCTCATTGAAAATGTCTATTTTACTTGGAGAATATGTCTGACTTATTATTGACTGTAGGCTCTAATCTTGCGAAGGTTACTGCTGTTGTTGGACTTTGGGCATGGGCGGCCCTCTGTTTGACATTTGTTGCTATGATAATGTTTTATACGTGTAGTAGGTAATTCCCTAACCTACCTGGCACATGCTCATTCTCTATCTTTGTAACTTGTTTGATCAGTTCTCTTGACGCCTTATTATTTATATGAGTGATTCTTATAATTTCTCCCCCGAATGACTCGGTTATAAATCATGTTCAATCCAAAAGCTTATAGAAATTGATTGCAATTAAAAGACTTATGAACATCGTAATGATGACAAGAGCCTACAAGTAGGTTCCCTTTATATGTTACCATGCCAACTGCCATAACGATTTTTGGATCAACAGCAATGATATCGGTTCCTAGTGAGGATACAATACTGTATCCTTCTTTTTTGTAATCTTGAATCTTGAATAATGGAATTGTTCCTCATTTAAAAAAAAAAATAATAATAATAATGGTAGTTTTTACTATTATGTGCAGCAAGGATCCAGGCTACATAAAAAGACCCGGGGAGTTGGGCAATCCTGCCAATACAGAGGTATATGAGTCTCTGTTTGAGGAATTTCAGTGTTTTGATTTTTAATGGAAAACCTGTTCATTCGTTTATTACTTGTAGTTTACTATTATATTTTATTACATAATTGAATTTCTTGCATTTTTTCAGGATCCTTTGTTGAGCATTGATCTCAACAATTCTTCAGTATGGATGGGGAATTGGTCTCAACTATGCCCTACTTGCAAGGTTTATTTCAGAAACCCTTTGATAAAAAATGATCTTTAAAGGGACATAATTTTGTGGTATATTAATGAACGTATTTTCTCTAGTGATCTAAGTTGACACTATCACGTTTCTTTCAGATAATTAGACCCGTTCGTTCGAAGCACTGTCCTACTTGTAATCGATGTGTGGAACAGTTTGACCACCACTGCCCGTGGATATCTAATTGTGTGGGGAAGGTGGGAAGATCTGCTTGAATTTTGATCTTGGATGTGTTATTCATTTGTGGATCTTATTCTTGAAATTATATAGACAACTAGATGAATTAAGGGATAATTCTATGCGAACTATTGCAGTTATTGCATATAAATAGATGATCTAAGAGACACATTTCGACTATATAGCTTCATGTCACTCTGATGATCTGACAACTTTATTCCGTTAATTTTTATGATACTTTGCAGCGGAATAAACGGGATTTTTTTGTCTTCGTCTGTTTGGGAACTTTGACATCACTCCTTGCTGGCTGTATTGCCATAAAAAGTATGTCATTTGAGACAAGTGAATGATACAAGTTTGTTTAAGACATCACTTTTCTTCTTTTGAAATTGGTATGAGCTTTCTCTTCTATTGCAGGAATCTATGAAGTGCCTTCAGCATTGCAAACCGGAGAAACTTGGTTTCTTCATGTGGTAGTTCATTATCCCGGAGTCGTTATATTTCTTTTTCTGGACGGTATCATATTTTTGGCTGCCACAACTTTGACCGTGGCTCAGGCGTCTCAGGTAATTGTCAAAACCAACACTGTAGCTCAATTTTCCATAACAAGATATAGTATTTTTAGTCGCATCTTCTGGAACCATATACATCTGAGGACATATTGAACCTCTGGTTTTCGTGATAGGATTGGACAACGATAACTTCTTACTCTTAACGTTCTTAATAACATTACGCATTTGGTCGATCTCAACCTACTGGATTGAATTTGGAGGAACCTGTAGACTAGTTTCTCAACCTGTCACCAAAAAACCCGTCAGTGAACTTCATCTTTTTAGGCTAATGTCCTTCATAGAATATTTCAGAGAAATATTGTCTCAAGCTAATCACTCCATAGAATATTTCAGTGAAAAACTTAAATTCTAGGCAAAAATGGAGCATCGACTAGCAAGAACATTATTCTCTAGTTAGAGCCCATAAACAATGGGAGCATTAATTGTTATGAAAGGAGCTTATACTCTTAACAGATCACTATTTTCATGAATTTCTTCACACAAAAAAAGGCTATAAGAAGGATGCTTCTAAATGGATCACATTTATTCAAAAGTTTGATTTCCTAATTAAACACAAGGTTCGAAAAAAACTAACGAAGTGGCTAATGCACTTAGTAGAAAGCATTCGTTACCCAGTTCCTCAAGTCATCCTCAAATCGATAGACAAACCAAAATAACTAAGCGAACTCTTAGCAAAGATTCGTTTCCTTTGTGGGGATAAGCCGCGCCAATGAGACCTTGCTCTTCCTCAAGCGGAGTTTGCTTATATATGAGGAATCAATCAACAGGAATGTCTCCATTTGAGATGTGCACTACCATCTCGAAGAGTTTGGCAATACTAAACTTCCTAGTTTTACCTAGGACCTGGCTACAGTACCATCTTCTTTGAATGTGCATCAGGAAGCCAAGGAGATTGGTGAACGTATTGCCGAACTTCACAAAGAGGTTCACGACCATTTGGAGGTTGGGCTGATTATTTACACCGCTGCCCCAAGTCTTCTGTAGTTGGAGACCTAGTCATGGTTCTAAGGAACTCACGGCTGCCTACCGGAGTTCACGGCGAACTTTTTCCAAAGCAAGTTAGCCCTTTTCCTATTCTCTGGAACACTTTGGTCCTAGTGCCTATAAGGTTGATCTTCCTCCACACTTCAAGATCCATTCCACTTTTAATGTGTCAGATCTTGCCACCTGTCACGCTCCTGATGGTTTCGACCTGGCTTTGGGTATAGTTTGGTTTGAGCTTAGTTCCTTAATTTCTTCTTGGCCATGTTCTTTAAAGCCCCTTTATTTCATTTACTGTGTTACTGTGCAGTAACCTTTAATTGTTGGCAATTAGCGCTTATGAGATCATTTTTTAGTTGCTTGTGGTCAACTGTTTTATCATAGTTTATTTGTTCGTAGTCTGGTTTGTAGCCTATTTTTAGGGTCTCTAAGTTAGAACTCTCAATAGAACAGTGTGGGTTTATCCATATTATGTGTTTTGTGTGTTTTCTGAGTGTTTTTAAAGATTGAAAGGTACTATATACCGAACATAATCATGGGAATACCTCGTTTCCGAACTAGTATATTATTGTTGATAGAACGATGAACGATCTTCATTGATGCAGATAGCACGAAATATCACCACTAACGAAGTGTCAAATGCCATTCGCTATGGATATCTTCGTGGTCCAGATGGGAAATTTCGGAATCCATATAACCATGGATGTCGAAAGAATTGCTCTGATTTCCTCATTCATGGCTATATAGACGACGAGATCGCTTGGCCTCCACTACAGCGTGCTGCCAGTTAGATTGATTGCGATTGCACAGGTTTATGTAAATTAGTCATATTCCTGGACTCTTGGCATCTCAAAACCCTTTAGAGCTGAGTATCGGTCAACGTCGTTGCCCGATATCGTACTGTTGTTGTCTTTATGATTCTTAATCTACGAACGAATTAGAGTGTCCGTGCTGTCTAACCGATATTGTAAGCCAGGAAATAGGATAGAAATGAAAGGTCACAGATAGATAATGTTATTAGTTGCATTACCAAATAGTGAATGCTACAACTGACTGTAAAATTCATTTGCTATAGTTCTGATGTAACTTGGAAACTCTGATTTTCACACCAGAGGATTGAAGATCTTAGCTGCTTGTTTCTCTATTTTGGTGTAAGCTCTCCTGTTCTATGTGCTGATTTTGAAGCTTTTTATGTTACTTTCTTTAGCTTGGCTTGAGAGTTCTCCCTCCCTTTTCCCGTTTTACGTAAAACTATGAGATCCCACGTCGGTTAGGGAGAACGAAACATTCTTTATAAGGGCGTGGAAATCTCTTCCGAATAGACACATTTTAAAAATTATGAGGGAAAGCTCAAAATGAAAAAACACGAAGAGGACAATATTTGCAAGCGGTGGGCTTGGGTCGATGCAAAAACTCTTCGACAATGTTGTTTACTAAGTTATATCGTATGTCTTTTGTAAACATCATGAATATTACATTCCTTTTGTAAATTTCAATCATCGATAAGATTCTCTTATTAAAAAAAAATATTTTCTACACTAAAGGTATAATATGTTACCTACAGAATCAAGTTCGTTGGGAGAGAATCAGATATTTGTTATACCGGCCTAATACGTGTATCCAATAATTTCAGCATCAATCAATGAGATAAGCCATATGCCCTCAAGCAAGAGGTTATAGGTTCCAATCCTTCTATTCTTTTTCTCAAAAGTCGTGTTCATCACTATTTCGTTTGCAACTTAGCAATTACGTTGTTTTGACGATAAAATAATTGTGTCGATATATTTGAATCAAATTTAAAGGTAAAGGGTAGATGCAAAACTACCCATTTGAGCATTATTCAGTTGATTAATACATAGATTGTCTCTAAATCATTGTGACATAATTAAACTAATATCATAGTTCATGTGTATCATAAATAATTTAGCCTCGACATTTCATTTTTAGTAAAATTATATTAAAAAAACTTACCTTTATAATTCCTAATTCTTTAAAGCTTATAACGCTTGAATCCCGACAACTCTAATTTATTTATTTATTTATAGATTTTAAAAATACAATATTCTAAGGTTTTAAATTATAAATTTAATTAATGAATTTGATTGGTGTTAAGAAATCAATTTAAATTTTAAAAAATGATTTTTTTTTAAATTTATGGGACGCAAAATAAATAAAAAATAAAAAAAATAAAAGGATAATTTTTAAAATTTGTTTCAATATTCTTTTTTTAAGTAATAAAATTGTAATTTAACGTTAAATAAAATAATTGTAAAAACCTAAACCCCATTTTGCTTTCCCCTCCGTTTCCCCAGCCGCACACACATTTTCCTTCTTCTTCCTATCTCCACCCACTCCCCGCCGCCGCGTCCACTCGTCGGCGCTGCAACTTCACTGCCTCACCGCTCCTCTTTTACCTCCGCCGTATGACTCACTGCATTCTTCTGCAACTTCTCGTTGAGGGCCCAGCATTCAATCTTCCTCAATCCCACTGTTCACTTTCTGTCCCCCACCATTGATCCCTCTGTTTAGCCTTCCAGTTTGTTTCCCGTTTCCTCGCACCTCCGTTCTCCTTTCCTGGTATTGTATCTATTCTCTATCTTTCTTTTGATTTCAATTGCTCTTTTTTCAGTCTGATTGATTTTGTGTTTAATCGCTCGCTGAACTCCACTAATTTGTTTGAAATGTGTTTGTATAAAATTTATCTGTTTGTTGCTTTTTGCTCATGTGCTGGAATCCAAATCGAGTAGTTCGATTTTCTGGATGGTTTCCGAGAAAATTGAATCGATTTTGCTTCCATTTTACTTCTCGACTTGTTTTATCTGTCTTTTTCTTGTGTTCTTTTGAAAATGAGAAATCGGTGTTCAATTGCTGATTTAAGTGACGGTTCTGATATTGACCTGTAGGAACACATTAATATACCATAAATTTCCGGGAATTGCCCGGAGATTGTCCGGGAACCATCTGAGGAAAGAACTATTGAGATTCGTACATTCGGAAGTTGTGATCGGTTTTCTCAATACAAATTTTAATGGTTCTTATATAAAAGATTGTTCATTCCCCACCCTACTCTTAGAGATACACGGGTAAACACTTTGGTTATAGTGATTGACTACCATTCGTAGGTGTAGGAGAAGTTTTTCTCTTCGAATCACGTAAATCTTTGTGTCTTTTTGTTTAATTTCTGTTTGTGGGTATGTGAGTACGATCGATCTTACTTCCGCTTCCGCGACAACAATTGGGTACCATAACATTTTGGTTGTGGCATTTAGAGTACAATAATTGGTATCAAAGCATCAAAGGTTGTGGCATTACGACACAACAAGTGGTATCAGAGTATTGAAGGTTGTGGCGTTACGGCACAACAAGTGGTATCAAAGCATTGAAGGTTGTGGCGTTACGGCACAACAAGTGGTATCAAAGCATTGAAGGTTATGGCATTACGGCACAACATTTCCAATTAATCCACGGGATTCCTTTTGATCATTGATTCCCCTCCCCCATCCTTCTCCATTATTACATCGATTCCATGCAGAAAATGATATGGAGAGGACTTTTTTTTTGTTCATCTTGTTTTGGGTTTCCATCACAAGTACTCACTCTTGGCTACTTTCCTTGTTATTGAGAGAGTGCACTCAGCTATCTCCCTTGCTTGGATTTGGTTTCACTTCCTGCCACTCACTTTTTTTGGTGGCCTTTTCTTTTGGATACAATTGTTTCTTATGAACACACATATATTTTGACAATCGCTCATCTCTTATTATTCATATTTCCATGACAGGTCCAGCACATGTCCTCTTTCAGAACTGCTCAAATCCACCTAGTGAGTTCTCATCGTGAGGTTTATGAACCCTGTGATGATTCGTTTGCTTTGGTTGATGCACTTTTAGCTGAGAGAGTTAACTTGTTAAATCATCATCCAACATTGTGCTTCGAAGTTGGCTGTGGTAGTGGCTATGTTATAACATCTCTTGCTCTTATGCTGGGAAAGGAAGCTTCTGGGGCTCACTATATTGCTACAGACATCAATCCTCATGCCATTAGAGTCACCCAGGAGACTCTTGAAGCACATGGGGTTCATGCAGAGTTGGTATCCACTGACATTGCATCTGGTTTGGAGAAGCGACTGGCTGGATCAGTTGATGTATTGGTTGTGAATCCGCCCTATGTTCCGACGCCAGAGGACGAAGTGGGTCGTGATGGAATCGCCTCGGCTTGGGCGGGAGGGGAGAACGGCCGCAGTGTCATTGATAGGATATTGCCAGTTGCAGATGTTCTTCTGTCTGACAAAGGCTGGTTGTACATGGTTACCCTTACAGCCAATAATCCTTCTCAGATATGCCTTCAAATGAGAGAAAAGGGCTATGCTAGTAGAATCGTTGTGCAGAGATCAACTGAAGAAGAGAGTCTTCATGTGATAAAGTTTTGGAAGGATGCTGATCTTCAAGTTGATGGAAAAGAATCAACACATAAAATAGGCCCTGCAAGAGTTGTGGAGTCTCTAATTTCACAATTTCCTCGGCTCTCTTTTTGGAGAAACAACAGCAACACGAACAGATGAATGAGTCATTAGAGTACGTTTCTAGACCTGCACTTCTCATTTTGTGACCCATTGTTTTGATTTTAATCTTTTGAGCTTTTGTGTTTTCCTTTTTACACTCGACCGAGTAGCTGTTACTGAATGTCTCATTTTAGTGAAAGCAGTAAGCATCTGAGGGTCGCTGTTTCTCTTTTCGTAATGTGAGGGTCACAACTTACCGTTTTCCTAGTGAGATAGTTAATTTGTGACATTCTCCCTCACTTAAACTAGTCATCGTCCTTGATGGGGCACGACTGCTATTAGGTTGTGACATTCTCCCCCACTTAAACTAGTCATCGTCCTCGATGACTTATGGGGCACAACAACTATTAGGTTGTGATATTCTCCCCCACTTAAACTAGTCATCGTCCTCGATGACTTATGGGGCACAACAACTATTAGGTTGTGATATTCTCCCCCACTTAAACTAGTCATCATCCTCGATGACGTACTTGGGGCAAAACCACGGTTGGGTTGTGACATTCTCCCCCACTTAAACTAATCATCCTCGATGACTTACTTAGGGCAAAACCACTGTTAGGTTGTGACATTCTCCCCCACTTAAACTAGTCATCGTACTCAATGACTTACTTGGGGCATAGCCACTATTAGGTTGTGACATTCTCCCCCCACTTACTAGTCATCGTCTTCGACGACTTGGGGCACAACCACGCTTTGGATTGTGACACGCCGACCTTGTCAAGGTGATGCATACTACTTTGACCCATAAATGTTTTTGTTTTATTTCTACTTTTAACCATGTCTTAGAAAAACCAAGTCAAGTTTTTAAAGCTAAAAATAGTTTTCTAGCTTTAAAAAACTTATTTTTGTTTTTTTTTTTGGTATTACAGTAAGAAAATGGAGAGAAAATCAGTATAATTTTTAAGAAGAAAAGGTCAAATAGTTATCAAATGGGGTCATTCTCATTCTTAACTTTCACAACTTCCTTTTGTTTCATGCATGCAAGACCTGATCGATCCACTGATACTTCCGAAGTTTTGAAGTTAAAACCACTAGACTCATGCATTCCGTGTGTATAGTATTAGTTTTAGTTTTAACTGGGTAGATCGAAGATTGTATGGCGTATAGACTAATTTCAGTAGCCATCTTCTTGGTTGTGTCGGTGTTGCAGGACTCGAGACTCGGCCACACAGCCTCCATTGTTACAAGCAACAAGTCCAACCTTCCATTTTTGTGCATGCCAGAGGTTCATACTGTTTGTTTTTGTATACTCAAATACCTTTGTTTTGACCCTATAGCTGCTTAGAGATCTGCCATAGAAGTCATTACACAAACTATCACTTGCTGAGCTTGAAACTTCAAAGCTCTCTGTTCATAGGAAATGATAATTTCATGGACAAGATATTACTGAAGATCTATGAATTGGGTTGTTGCAGTTGCATTAAATGTCTTTCATATGCCATTTGTGACAATCTCAACTCAAACTAGTTCTAATCCATTTTTCCTGCTACATTTAATTTATTTTGTTTTATTTTATTTATTATTATTATTATTATTATTATTATTATTTAGTTTTCAAATTAAATTACAAATTTAATCCAGAGCAAATTGTAATTTAGTTTCTGTCCGTGTTAAAAGTTAGAATTTATTGTTTTGATGAAACCTCATAAATAGTTCATTATCTCAAAATTACCTCAAATTATCGAAGGAAAAATGAAATAAAATTAGAGATAGATAGAGAAATTGACATTAAATTTACCTTGATTTAGTCGAATTTGACTAACTTCCATACTCTCGTTATGAGTAAAAAACTAATTCAATAGTTTCCACGAATAAAGATTAAATCACTACTGTTACTTTTTGTCGAGAACAAGAACCAGAACCCTAGAACTCGATTAAAAAAACTTTCAAAAATAGATATATAAATCTAGTTACAAGACTGAAAAAGAGAATCTTATAAGTAAAGTTTCACTTATGGGTATGAAAGATACATTGTAGCTTAAAGTATGATATATCTTATAATTGATTGAAGTATATTGTATCGGCTGAAATTATCAAAGAAAAAATATATATATATATATTTCAAAAAAAATGAATTTAAGGTAATTAGAATTATTATTTTTCATTAAATTTTTATTTACTTTAGGTTACATTTATAGTATAAGAACGTGAAATGTCAGCCAGAATATTTGTGCTTTCTTTAACCATGACTAAGAATTGCGAATATTTCTATGTAGTTTAAGTTGCTTGTAGAATCATTCAAGCTCAACATAATCAATCTTGTTTGTGGAGTAATTTGAAACTCAAGTAAGTGTTCTTGCCTAAAAATATTTAATCAATAAATAATCATTCAAGCTAGACATGATCAATCTTGCTTGTGAGTGATTCGATTCTCAAACTAGTGTTTTTGTCTCGAGATATTCGATCAACAAAGTAATCCGAATCTTACTTCGTAGTGATTTCCATATCATTTGGTATCAGAGTCTTCCTATAGTTTGATTTCATGTCACGTGATAGCATGATAGCGAGGCCGAGAATTTAGTTCATAAATCATTTATTCAGTTAAAACATAAAACAAAACTCCAATTCGGGAGAGATAGGATCAAAGGACAACTACATCCCAGTCGTAAAACGACTAGTCTTATCTAAAATGCTACAGAAGAGAATGGGAATCGGGTTAAAGATAGCAGTTGATATACATTCATAACATGTTGATAGAACATTTTAAAGTTGGAGCATCGATAACCTACATCCATCAACATGTTATACATGATAGTTGTTCGCATGTTCTTTCATTTTTATTCAACATTCAACATTAAAAAGAAATTAGACATACCAGCAGTCAGCTCTGTTGGATTCCACTTGGCCATGTCTGATTCTTGACAGGGTGAAGGATAGCTTCAACCTCAGATAGAGTTTCCTCATCCCTACCAAAGGTGGCAAGTTCTTCAGCTGCAGCTACGTTTTCCTCCACCTGTTCCAAAATTTTTACAACTTGGTTAAGATTCTATGATGCAATCTTTGAAGAAGTTTGCAGCATGGTCACGAAGAAAATATGAACAAACGCTATATGTCAGCTCATCGAGATTGATTTTTAGGGCTTAAATCCAAGGGAGCTCAACATTGTATGAGAATAAATATTCACGACTCTCCACAATGGTATGATATTATCCACTTTGAGCATAAGCTCTCATGGATTTGCTTTGGGCTTCCCCAAAAGGTCTCATACCAATGGAGATAATATTCCTCACTTATAAACCTATGATCCTCCATTAAATTAACCAATGCGGGACTCATTCCCAATAATCCTCAACAATCCTCCAATGCGAGACTCATTCCCAATAATCCTCAACAATCCTCCAATGCGGGACTCATTCCCAATAATCCTCAACAATCCTCCAATGCGAGACTCATTCCCAATAATCCTCAACAATCCTCCAATGCGGGACTCATTCCCAATAATCCTCAACAATCCTCCCCTCGAACAAAGTACACTATAAGCCTCTCTTGAGGCTTATGGAGCTCTCGAACAACCTCTCCTTAATCGAGGCTCGACTCCTTTCTTTGGAGCCCTCGAACAAAGTACACCTTTTGTTCGACACTTTAGTCACTTTTTGACTTCACTTTAGAGGCTCACAATCTTTGTTCGATATTTGAGGATTCTATTGTCATGGCTAAGTTTAGGGCATGGCTCTGATACCATGTTAGAAATCACGACTCTCCACAATGGTATGATATTGTCCACTTTGAGCATAAGCTCTCATGGCTTTGCTTTGGGCTTCCCCAAAAGGCCTCATACTAATGAAGATAATATTCCTCACTTATAAACCCACGATCTTCCACTAAATTAACCAACGTGGGACTCACTCCCAATAATCCTCAACAATTTGGTCAACTCCCAATAATCCTCAACAATTTGGTCAACTCATAGGATTTTAACATTCTAGGTAGCAATATAGGATGAAAATTATACTTCGAAAAACTAGCTTCTCGTACTTAGTATTCAAACTAGCAACACGAAACTCCAACATTCTTTCTCCTTGGTCCTCTCTTGCTAACCATTTTTGCAATTCTGCTATAATCTTGATCAAAGCCAACAAGAGTGGATGCAGACTGTCATCAATCTCCTTTGACGTCATGGTGTGGGATGATCCCTCTAAAATTATTCTATATAATTAAATTTTTATTTCCAACCAAAAAGAAGGAACCAGTTCATAAATCTAAAGGTGAATAGTCTAATGACCTTTTAGGAACTATCCATCCATCAAAAAGAAGTTCATTTAACTTGCTCTCTGCTGTCCCAATTCCTTCCATACAAAAGTTCTCTTTTTGCCTATCCCTCCACCTTGTGTGGTCTGCTTGTATCGGTATATTTTCGTTGAATAAAGAAGTAATCTGGTTGACTTTTTTTATCCATGAAAGATAAACAATGTCGGAAAACAAGAACTTCCTCCTCATTGGTGTGGAGGCAAGTTTTTTCAACAACGAAGTAGGAGTAGTACAAGCATGGACCAGGAAATTACCAACTAATTGATACAGAATGAGTATATACACCATGGCATAGGGGCATGCCATGATCTTCGAAAAAGGAGATTGGACTCGAAAGATATTGAAAGAAATATCGACAAAGAATACTATAAATGTGATTATTGAAAGATACCTGTCTGACAGAGTTCATGCCAACCAGAACCGTTGAAATATCTTTGTTTGACAGACTGTATTGGAGGGCTAACTTTGAAATATGTTTTCCTTTCTTTTTACAATGAGCAGCTGCAGCTTGGCATGCAGACTGAAGCCATTTAAATTAGAGAACAATATCAGAATCCAATGTAAAGCCAAAGCTCAAACAAAACACAGTTCGAAAAAATAAAAGATAAAATCACAGCACTAGAACAAATGGTTTTGGGTTAGTTTGTATGGTTGAATGAACTAGTCATTACTGCATACTATAATCAACACCTAGAAATTATTTTCATTTCAAGAGATAAAGTTTCCACGATGGGACCTAAACGCCATAAGAGTAAAGAACGAGAAATGTACTCCTCCAAACAAACGTGTTTTCTTTGCATGACATCAGTCAACTGAAAGTGCTTTCCCTGCATAAGCTTTTAAGTTTCACAATTCAACTATGGAGCTAATGAAAGGAAGGGGGGGGGGTGAGAAACTGTACCTTCAATTCTGGTGAAGCTGGGTGCCATTCTGGGGGACCATAATCAGTTAGAAGTCCCATTGCTAGAGGAGACGCACTGATTATTCCAATCTCCTTACTCTTTAAGTAAGGTAGCAAATCTAACAATGTTGAATCGTTAATACTGTAGTGACAATATGAAAGAATCACATCAATGGAGCCAGGTGGCACTCGATCAAGCACATACGTAAAAATTTCCAATGGAAGTCCCGTAATACCAATGAAACGAATCTTCCCAGCTTCCCTCAGCTTTTGAAGTGCAGGAATCGTTTCGTTCACAACCTGAAATAAATTTTAGCGGCTGAAGATCCACTTTTTACTTGATATTATAATGCCAATAACCATGTTCATAGCTTTTTAGAACTCAAGGACAAAGTTGTACAACCTATAAGACAAATCCTGTCCATGCAAGGTCACATGACCATGTTAATAACTAAAATTCAATGGTCAATGAGTTCTTAAGAAAAGTAACAAACCTGATCAAGAGATCCAAATTCGATATCATGGCAATGCAGTATATCGACATAATCTAGTTGTAGCCTAGCCAAACTCTCATCAATGCTCCTTGTCACCCTCTCAGCACTGAAATCAAAACCCTCAGCATATCTACCACACTTTGTTGACACTATATATTCACTCCTCGGAACATCTAGAGCTTTTAGTCCCTTACCAAGCATCTTTTCTGATAAGGTCCCTCCATAGTACCTTCACGCATGTCGTCGAAGAGGCAAACCCAAATTCAGTGCTAGAGCCAGAAATCACATAGAAGATAACCAAACTAGCCCTTACATATCCTTACCGATGAACTAAACATATAAAAAATGGAATGATTTATATTTTCCGAAAGCCATTGGCTCTTCCATATCTAAACTTTCAATAACATCAAATCAGACATCAAACCTGGATACACGTAGCAATATTTCAAATCTTCGTTACAACTTACATTTACCTAAACAAATCTCAACAAAAAAGCAACACAGAACTTCCTAGAGCCAAATCGAGCCAACAAATTTCAACGAAAATCAAGCATGCACAAAGTCAAGTCCAAACAAATGAACATGCAAGACCAAGCATTGAACAAATTCTCAAACTCTAGCTCTATTGTTTGATGTAGAAACTCGTCAATTTCATAAGAAAGCCTCTCTCACTAAGTAAATAGGAAAACAACAGTTACGAATTCCATACGGAGAGGTGTCGAAGAAGTTGATGCCAAGACGAAAGGCTTCACGAACGGAGGCGACGGCATCCTCCTCAGAAACAGGGCCGAAGACGCTGCCGAGAGGCGAGGCACCAAAGCCGACACTGCTGGTTTTGAGGCCGGTGTTCCCCAGCTTCCGAAGCTGGAGCTTGGGATAAGAAGCCGCCATTGATTCCGATGAAGCTCTCAGAATTGGGAACAGAGTACGATCTTCCCGGGAAAGGAAGTGACAAAGGGGATTCCGATTTTGGAAGAAAAACGCCAAGTTGAGGGACCGGGTTCCAGATGAGGCACTGCTGTATAGCCGCTAGGACAATTAAACAAATTCGTTTCCAAAAGGGCATTTTAGACATTTACTAAATCAAATTTTAATTTTACCATTTGAGACTTTTCTTACCATTTATACCCTGGTTAATTTTCAAAACAAAATCTAAAAAAATACTTTAAAATATTAGACGAACACGGCCTTCCCCAATGGTATGATATTGTCCACTTTGAGCATAAAACCTCATGACTTTGCCATAATCATTCCCTAAATTAGCTGATGTGGGACTTTCATCATCCAACACCTCCCCCCACTCCTCAAATGATTCATTTGTTCGATATTTGAGGATCTATTAGCACAACTAATACCATGTTAGACGAACACGACTCTCTGCAATGGTATGATAATGTCCACTTTGAGCATAAGCTCTCTTGGCTTTGCTTTGTGTTTCCCCAAAAGGTCTCGCACCAATGGAGGAGGGATTCCTTGATTATAAACGCATGATCATTCCCTAAATGGAACTTTCATAACCCAACTTAAAAAACTACTGATATTTTATTTAAAAAATATTTTTGAATCATTTCAAAAATATCCTCCAACTTTTTAAAAGATTTCAAAAATATTTTGTATTATATTTAAAAAAAAATGCTTATTTTAAAAGTAGAATTAATACTCTTTATCCTTGTAAAAAAAAATTAAAAATCTTACTGTTAATATATGGATGAAAACTATTTATCAAGCACTTTATAGGTTATCTTAAAAATCTTACTGTTAATATATGGATGAAAACTATTTATCATGCACTTTATAGGTTATCTTCGAAACTTCTCGGTAAGTATAAATAAATAAATATATATATATATTTGAAGTTTTAAAGTTATTATTGAAAATTTAAAAATATTTTTTTTGATTTAGCCCTATTTTACGAGCAAAAAATAAATAGAATAAATATTATATATATATATATATATATATATATATATTATAGAAGATTTAAAAGGAGGAGGATGAATAAAATATTTTAAAAATAAATTAAGAAAAGGAAATAAAAGAAACAACCGAATTTGGAAACCCATAGATTTATATATTTATTTCACAAAGTTCTGATTCAAATTCCGCGCAGAAGCTTTCCAGATCTCTTCAATGGAACATCAAATCTCTCGATACGAAAACCTGGTGGTGGAAGTACTTACAGATCTTCCGACGCCGTCACGAATTCCAAAACATCCGTCGCGAATCGAACACATCGGCCTAATCTTCACTCTCCGTCGCCGTCGCAGCCACTTCGAGGTATCGGAGAACGGCGAACGACGACTAATCCAGCAGCGAGAAACCCTAAAAATTCCACTCTGCGACAATCAATTCCGCGCCGAAATCTTCAATCGAGACGACGATTCTCTGTTCCACAGCCTCTCTTGCAGTTTCCAGAACTTCAAACCAGAAATCGACGCGGAACCGGTAGCCGATGCCCTAATCGAGCGGTGGATTGAAATTAGGGACGAAGCGAATTCGAGAAGCTCGGACAGAGTGTTTCCGATGACGGTGAATTTGACGATGTGGCACATTGTGGCTCGGTATGAAATCGGCGTCGGTAGCGGTGGAGACGGCTGCGGAATGGTGCCGGCGTGCGGCGGCGCGGTTGCGAAGATGTTGAGGAGATTGAAGAGGGAAGATGAAGTGGATGGAATTTGTGTGATCTGTTTGGATGAATTGAAGAACAAGAAGAAGAAGAATGGAAGATTTGGTTTACAAATGCCTTGTTTACATGTGTTTCATGGGAATTGCATTGAAGATTGGTTGAAGAATAGCCATTATTGTCCAATTTGTAGATTTGAAGTGCCAATCCAATAGAATTCTCAATTGTTTTAGGTTTAGTTTGATCATTACTAGGGTTTCAATTTGATAGCAATCTCACTTTTAGTTCGCTTTTGGTTCATAGGTTTTTCATATACTCGATTGGTTGAACTAAATCTGTATGAGTCTCGTCACTCCTATCTCATCTCTCACTCGTCTCCCTCTCCAATAAGTGGTAATTACTTATATACTATCATGAGAAACTATACAGATGGATGAGACTCGACTTGATTGACTAAACGTCAATTCATATCAGGTAGAGGTAAAGTCTCCCAGAACTCCTGCTATGAACCACCAGATAATTGTAATTATCCACTTCCTTGCTTCCTTAAGCCACCATTCAGGAGTCGAGGTTGAATTATCGGAGATCTATTGAGGCAGAAGACTAGAGAAGGAAGCACTTAGGTTTCTTCGAAACAAAGAAGAATAGAAATTCTTCTATTTGATGAATACGGGAGGACTAGACATAACTTGCTTAAACCCGAATTTGCGTTGAAAGAACGGACGTCATAACATAATTAAAAAGTAATGATTTAGGTCTCACAGATACACGTTGCATACTCGTGTATAAATATCTTAGTATTCTTAATATTCTAACTTTGTCAACATCTGTGGTATAATCAATCATGTTCGTCGATTTTAATTATTATAATTTACTTTGGACTTTGAAATTTAAATACTTTTTAAAAAAATTCCACAAATATCCATCAACGTCGATATTTATCAAAATTTTTAAAAAAATTAAAACTTTAAAATATGAGTCGGTATTGACATTTTAAATATTTAATAATTTAATTCAACTTTGTTTATATAAATAATATATTGATTCTATATAAATATAATGAAAGAGGAATTAAAAGAAATATATTGGAAATAAATAAATAAATCATTTATGTGCCACACGCTTAATCAATTAAATATTCTTAATATTCATCCATGTCAACATTTTTTTCAATATTTTAATAAATAATAATTCAAGAAAAAATCAACGCTATTTCTTTTTTAATTGAATTAACATCAGTTATATAAGTTAATATATAAACATCGATGAAATAGGAATATATCAACAAAAGTATTCTCGTTTGAATATAAATACGAACGTGAACTAAATTTATAGGTATATTTATGCGTATATAATTGATTATAATATTCTAATTAATCGAGATACGATAAAGTTAACTAACTTAGATTAAAGATAACTATTTAACTTGGCGGAGATTTGCCTCGAACCAGGTAGAAATTTTGGGAAAAGAAAGAGGGGAGTCTTGTCCATTGGCTAAATAGGCTGAAACAAACAATTAAATTCCTGAGTAGCAGATGCGTTTTAAAATCGTGAAGCTTACGATGATACGTAATAAGTCAAAGCGGAGACAATATTTGTTAGCTCTAAGCTTAGGCTGTTATAATATTCTTCATCCCAACCCTGTTTTGGGAAGATGAAGATTGAGATAGTCAACCCCGATCCCGTGACATGTCAAACTTAGAGTAGAAGGTTGCCATAGCTACATCCATAGCTTGTTTATTAATCTTTGAAGTGTGAATCCTTAGCCATAATTGCAGCAATATTATAATCTCAAAAGAATTGGGAACTTATTTTAATGAATCATCAACACATTTAACCAAAATTTCAAAAGCTAGTCGGTGAAGTTGCTCTCACAAAGTCCACAAAACAACAAAAAGAATCGCAAATCAGCTATCATTTTGTCATCCAAGAGTGACCCATTACTTATTCTCCAATTTTCTTGAACAATAAAGGTTGAAAAAGGCTCTCCATGTCGATTTCCTCTCTGGGTTTCGACGAATTCAAGGTTTTCGACATTGTTAAGGTTCTTTCCCCTTTTTCTGAAAATGGGTTTATGTTTGTTTTCATGGGTTCTTGTAGATTCTCCATTGTTGTGGGACTATTCTTGATGGGCTGTGGAGAAAATTAGGGTTCGTGAATTGACCCTGTTTGTGCTTGCTTTTGCAGTTCAGAGAAGCTTAGTTTTGGAGAAGAAGGAGCTTTTTGAATGGAGAGATCATCTATGGTGGTTTTTTCTGAGATGGTAAGAGGATTTGATGAACTGAATGCTACTTTGGAACTTGTTTGTGTGTGGTTATGTAAAATCTCTTTAAGAATATGTGAGATCGCAAGTCTGTTGGAGCGGGGAACAAAACATTCATTATAAGGGCGTGGAAATATCTCCCTACAAGACGTGTTTTAAAGACTTTAAGGGGAAGCCTGAAAGGGAAAGTCGTATCTGTTAGTGGTGGGCTTGGCTGTTACAAATGGTATTAGAGCCCGGCACCGAACGATATGCCAGTGAGGGCGCTGGTCCCTAAGGAGGTGGATTGTGAGATCCCACATCAGTTGGAGAGAAGAACAAAGCATTCCTTATAAGGGTGTGGAAACATCTCCCTAGCAAATGAGTTTTAAAGACTTTGAGAGGAACCCCGAAAGGAAAGTCTAAAGAGGACAATATCTGCTAGCGGTGGGCTTGGACTGTTACAAATGGTATCAGAGCCAAACACCGAGTAATGTGCTAGTGAAGACGCTGGCCTCCAAGGGGGGTGGATTGTGAGATCTCACCTCAGTTGGAGAGGAGAACAAAGCATTTCTTATAAGCACATGGAAACATCTCCCTAGCAGACGCGTTTTAAAGACCTTGAGGGGAAGCCCCCAAAAGGGAAAGCCCAAAGAGGCCCAAAGAGGACAATATCGGTAAGCGGTGTGCTTGGGTTGTTACAAATGGTATCAGAGCCAGACACCGAGCAATGTGCCAGCGAGGACGTTGAGTCCCCAAGGGGGGTGGATTGTGAGATCCCACATTTGTTGGAAAGGAGAACAAAGCATTTCTTATAAGGGTATGGAAGCATCTCCCTAGCAAATGAGTTTTAAAGACTTTGAGAGGAACCCCGAAAGGGAAAGTCCAAAGAGGACAATATCTACTAGCGGTAGGGTTGGGCTGTTACAAATGGTATCAGAGCCAGGCACCGAATGATCCGAGCGATGTGTCAGCAAGGATGCTAAGTCCCCAGGGGGTGGATTGTGAGATCCCACATCGATTGGAGAGGGGAACAAAGTATTCCTTATAAGGGTCTAGAAACATCTCCTTAACAGACGGGTTTTAAAAATCTTGAGGGAAAACCCAAAAGGGAAAGTCTAAAGAGGACAATATCTGGTAGCAGCGGTGGACTTGGGTAGGAGTTCCTATGTTTGAAATTAGTTATGTCTTGTTCTTATGTCCTATGTTCGAATATGATTATGCCTTGTTCCTATATTCGAATCTGGTTATGTCTTGTTCTTCCTATAATTAGGGACGTGTTAAGAACGTGCATATCTTAAACTCGATAGTGTTGTTCTTGAAAACGTTTGGATTATGAAAGGAAATGAGACATTGATGAAGTCTATATCCATCTTAGGGAATGGAGGACAATGGCTTTGTCAATCAGTGGCAGAAGAGCTCAATAGATGAGCTTGGCGTCCCATTAGCAGCAGCTTTTGGGGAGGATTTGCAGCATTCTTATGCTCAGTCAAACATCGATCAGAAGGCTTCTTTAAACCGTTCTCACAACGCCATACTCGGGTATGTGAAACAGCTCAAGAGTGATGGATGGAGTTCATATCAAACGAATAATCATTCGTCAAACTCACCAGTCGTTTCGTATCCGACCGCGTCTGTTTCGGCTTCCAACTACATGAACCAAATGGACTTCACGAGGCCGAAAGAGGAGGTCGTGTGTCCTCGGAGTATTAGCAACCTCCCTTCTGATATGTTGGTTTCTCAGGACACATTACGCCACCCGAGCCATGGAACGAAAAGTACCTCTACAAACAGTAGAATCCCACAGGCTCAAGATCACATTCTTGCAGAGCGGAAACGTCGAGAGAAGCTTAACCAGCGGTTTATCGCTTTGTCTGCTATAGTTCCTGGCCTAAAGAAGGTAATGATTCTTATTTTTTCCCGTTACTGTTCTTTTAGTTTTCGAGTTTTTTGCATCGATAGTTGATCCGTTAAACGAAAAGAAACGTTTGAACTCGGTTTTTTCCTTTGCTGCTGATAGATGGACAAGGCTTCAGTTCTTGGAGATGCCATTAAGTACCTTAAACAGCTCCAAGAGAAAGTGAAGATACTAGAGGAACAAACCCGCAGGAAAGACATCGAATCCGTGGTATTCATCAACACATCAAACGAGGAAGACGACCCACTTCCCGAGATCGAAGCAAGATTATGTGACAAAAACGTCCTTATAAGAATACACTGCGAGAAAAAGAAAGATGTCATAGAGAACACAGTTGCTGAAATTGAAAAGTTGCACCTTACAATAGTCAACAGCAGTGTAATGTCAGTTGGGAGTTATGCTCTCGACATAACCATTATCGCTCAGGTAAAAAACTACCCCGAACAACTATGTCGATATCTTGATCTGTCTACGTGCAAACACGGGGCTGTTTCTTGAAACGGTTCACCTTTTTGCAGATGGATAACGAGTTCTGTATGACGTTAAAGGACCTCGTGAGAAAGTTGCAGTCGACTTTGCGCTCGTTCGAATGAGAACGAGCCTGCTGTTTCTTGAACTGTTCGCCTTTCTTTCTTAAGGTGTTATGTTTACAGGGCTGTGATGTTGCACCAAATTTGGAGCAATAACCTTGAAGGAGACCAGTTGGGAGATTCACATTTGAGGTTGGTTTTTTGTTGTGTTTGGTTTTTGCCTGAGAAATCATGTTCTGTCAGTCACCTACCTGTGTTCATTAGAAGTGTTCATCTCACAGCTTGTTTGGAGGGTTTTTTCCCATTGGTTTTTTTACTTCTGTTGGTGTTTTAGAGGCATCCTTGGAAAAGTTAGTGACTTTGGTTTGTAATGCATTGTTTGGAAGTGATGAAATAGTTCAAAACTTTGCTCTTTTTTGTTACAAGTTTAGTCTTTGAACTATCGAAGGGATTCATCGGTCCTTTGTGGATTTGTCCTACGAGCGATGGTATAAGAAGAATTTAGCAAACTTGGTTATGAAGTTCTAGGTCTTATTGCTCTTTGCATTGTCTCCTAATGATGCACGAGAGTTTGTCTTCCTTCCCCTTCTCTCTATCGTCCTTCATTCATGTAATAGCTCGAGCCCACTATTAGTAGATATTATCCGCTTTGACCCGTTAGGTATGGTCGTCAGCCTCACAGATTTTAACATGTCTTCCAGGAAGAGGTTTTCATACTCTCATAAAGAATGTTTTGTTCCTCTCTTCAACTGATGTGGGATCTCACACTTCATTTAGTAGGTCATCTTGAAACGGCAAGTACAGGGATCAAATAGACATAGAAGTATATTAGATAATAGGGGGTGGTACGGGTATGAAGACACAGTTGGTCTCAAGCTCGAACGTCGTCACTATAGGGAGAAGCGCATGTTGTGACACTCTCCCTTGAGGGTGTCGTAGAGAACTTTGACGTTTTATCCTTTAAAATATTGAATTCTACCCTAATGTAATAAAAAAAAATTCAATTATCTCGAATTGATGTATCGTTTTGAATATCTTATATAGAATTATGTCAAGCAAAGAATAAATTTCCGTTACTAATTTAAACTACTTGGGTATTTCATTAATATCTTATTAAAATTATTTGTAAATCTTTTGTTATGAAATGAAAATTATATATTTTTTAAATAGATATGTTAATAAATAAAAAAGAATCGAAGTGGTGTCGTGGTGTAGTTGGTTATCACGCCAGTCTAACACACTGAAGGTCTCCGGTCCAAGTTTGGGCGTTAGCGAGTCATAGGTTCAACCATAGGAGAAAGAAAAAATCGAAAAAGAAAATGATCTATGTAAAAGTATTTTTTAATAATAAAAATATTTCTGAATTTTAATTTTTTTTCCGAAAGTTTCAAGTATTTTTTAAAAAACTTTTAAAAATTTAAAAATATTTTTGAAACAAAACGACTATAATTTTCCTAGGATTCAGACTTTTTTAATTAAAAATTTTGATATTTTAAAAATTCACGAATCTATTAAATACAATTAAAATAAGGTTCTATTCAACGTCAAATATTCATTTATATCTGATTTATTATTATTTTTAATAAGTTTGTAAGATATATATATAAAAAGAGTGTTGGTATCTATCTTACTCAATATCTAAGACGTTCATGTCGTCTTTATTCATCCACGAACATTATCTTTTTAAATACGTTAGAAACTTATTTCAAGTACCCATAACATAAAGATTTACTAACAAATAAATTAATTTTATAAAATGATATAAGAGAATAAATTTCAGTTACTAATTTAAACTATTTTCATTAATATTTTCTTACAATTAGTTGGGAATATTTTGTTATAAAATAAATCTTTATCTTTTTGCAAAACTAAATACGTGACTACCAAAATGGTGTCGTGGTGTAGTTGGTTATCACGTCAGTCTAACACACTGAAGGTCTCCGGTTCAAGTCCGGGCGACGCCATTTTAATTCACTATTTTATTCATATGTAATTCCATTTTTAATTTAAAAAGAAATGCAATTTTCATCAACGGTGTCGTGGTGTAGTTGGTTATCACGTCAGTCTAACACACTGAAGGTCTCCGGTTCGAGTCCGGGCGACGCCAATTTTATTTTTCTATTTTATTAATGTATAAAGAATGAATTTTTTTTTTAAAAAAAAACACTTTTTAACGAGGAATACTAATAATTTGGGATCATTTGGTAATTGTTATATTCATGAAACAATGCATCCTATATAAATTCATTTGGTAATTATTATGTGAACGGAAGCCAGTCTAAATAAATTCATAACTCAATCCAAGTTATGACACCCAAGTCAAGAAGGGATACGTGAATGAACTAAAATCACATCCGAATTCGAGCGATCCTAAGAATAGAATGACTAAGAAAGATGGAAAGGAAATGAATGAAAGCTACTACCTATATCAACAAGGTGTATTTTCTTTTTCGGTAGCTCAATCATAAGAACTTTATAAACGTGCTTTATTTAGAGTAATTCCATGTTTGGGTGACCTATGCATTTCTTGAGACTGATGCATGTGAATGAAGACAAAACATTCTAGAAGAACTCGTGTTGGTCTGTAGGGAGTAGTCTTCATTCTTAAGAAATGAAGAGAATGAACATGTTTGACATACCATCACACCGATGTGAGATCTTGCCATTTAGCTATCCACCACATTGTCCTATTTGAGCTAACCTTATACTAATTAGGAATGATCCAATAAAGACAAGGATGGTTAGGTCTCATCTAGTTATAGCAACTATCCAACTCTAATAATTGTTGAAACTACGACCATACCACCAACTTTATCAACCATATAACGCTCATTTTCAAAGTTATTTGAGCTAATCTTATACTAATTAGATTCACTCCTCTAGGGTTTTCATATCGATCCAACACGTGTCAGAGAAGATTTGAATAAGGTACACAGTTCTATTATGTCCAGATCGACATGACTTCGACTTGGTACTAGCTTAAACATCAGAGCGTATTGGGCAAACACTATACAGGTACAGGTTTCTGTCTTACAAGTTTATTAAGATAAACAACGAGTAGAACACTTGATCAAAACCACGCAAACTCGATACTAACTTAAGCATCCGTATCAAACAAAACACTGTACAGGTACGAGATTCTGTCTTACAAGTTTATTATTAAGATAAATAGCGAGTAGAACACTGGATCAAAACCACGCATCACCATTAATTTGTATACGTCTCGAAACCCAACTCCAGTAAATAAACATATGGGCTATGAAAAATAGATGAATTTTATTATAAAAATGTGAATTGATGAAATAATTAAGAAATGATTATAATAACTTTTTTTTCTGACACCTTTGACTAAAATCAGAGCATGAAGTTGACTGATGTAAACAGAATCTTGTTCTTTAAGAAAAACAAACCTTAACACTTCACTGACACTTGGATTGTCGGTGCCCAATCCCAAATAATAATAATAATAATAATAATAATAATATCAATTTTTGTTTTAAAATTTTAAACTAATAAAAATAATTTTAAACGTGGTATTTTATCTAAAAAATATTTTTGAATTTTAAAAAATTTCAATAATATTTTTAAATTTATTTATTTATTATTTCTCACTTTAACTTAAAAATATTGATTTAGAAGCGGTGGGTATAAATTTTAGGGTCGGTTAACCTCAATGGTACAATTAGATCTACAAAAAAAAAAAGACGATTTTTAGCTATAATTATTAAAAAGTTTAGCGATAATTTGTCTGCAATGCAACCAAAATTCATCATTAAGTATGAATTATTAGAGACGTTTTATAGGACTAATTTCATGTTAGGATAAGCGTAATTGTGCGGTTGAAAAAAATTTAATTTTATTTCATAAATTAATTTAAAAATAAGTTATTTATTTATTTATTTTCATAAATTCATGATTTTGAAGGAAAATAATTAATTTAGTATATTATTACTAAAATATTTATAAAATAAAAAGTCACAAAATTTAATGAAAAAGCAAAAAAAAAAGTCAATATAGTTTGAATTAAGTCAAAGAGGTTGTTGGGCCATGGCCCACCTTTGTCCAAAAATATTTGACCTTTTATTTATTTGTTTATTTAGATTACTTATTAATAATTTTAATTTTGAAATTTGCCTCTTCGTTTTTTCTTTTTAAATCTATTTATGAATAAATTATAAATTTTATTGCTTAATGTTTACCCTAATTTATAATTTTTTTAAAACTTTAAAAGTATATATTCCTAACGAAAAAAACTTTTAATCTATAAATGTGTTTAAAGCGAACAAATAAAAGTTCCGTAGATTCCGATACTTTATTCTAGTATGTTCTGCGATTAAAAAGTTTAATCTTTACATAATTACATATATGGTAAAGCTAAGCGGTATCAATTATCAATTTTTTTACTGCCCACTTTTATTCTAACAACTCAAGCTCACTGATAGTAGACATTGTCTGTTTTGATCCGTTAGGTATTGTTATCAGTCTCATGATTTTAAAACACATCTATTAGATAGAGGTTTTTACACCGTGCTAAGAAAGAAATGTTTCGTTCCCCTGATATGGGATCTTACATTTATATTATATATATAGCGGATGAATCATAATAGTTTATTTTAAAATTAATTAATGAAATCTCTGCGAACATAAATATAACTTAGTGATCTCGAGTGTTTATCAAAATTCTTGTCGGAGCGAATAAGATTAAAAAAAAATGTTTGTTCCATTTACTTTAGAGCATATAATTGAAATAAAAAAACAAAATTGAGAATATATATGAAAAGAATATTTGTTTTAGTGCATATGATTTTGTTTGTAGTCTAGACACATTAAAACAAATAATATATTTGAAAAAAATGTTCGTAACATTCGATAATTCGACCAATTCCGAATACCCAATCCAATCCTTGAGTTATTTTTTTTTTTTTCGGGTTTGGATTTGGTTGAATTTTTTAAAAATTGAAAATTTTGATTCGGTTCGTAAGTTAGACATTTTCTGGGTTGGTCAACCCGACCAATCTGAGAATAATGTTACAATCCAACTCAACCCTATGCTACTTTTAAAAAAATTAAGAATATTTAACGTTTGCAATGATGTTAGTGATGCACTGTCACATATATGGTAGACAAGTAGATTTTTTTTTTTTTTTTTTTTTTTTTTTTTAAAAAAGCCAGCAACTCAGCCAAACTTGAAAAATATAGTGTTGGATCGAGTCGAGTCGATATTCGTGAACTCTTTTTGAGTTATTCGAGTCATCAACTCAACAAACCTGAAATCTCGAGTTGGTCAAAAAGATTTTTTCCCACCCCAATCGTTATATATCCCTCATTTTTTCAAAAAATATGTAGCATCCCCTTTGTAAATTTTAAATATATATTCATATCATGTATTTTCTTAATTGAAAACTATTATTTAACCAATCTCGATCCTATGAACCACGAGCATCAATCATACAATATATTCCAAGGAAGATGTGAAGAAAATGCTGTTAAAATTATCAAAAATATTTCAATTCATGCCACATTGAAGAATAATGAAACTTCATTGTTATAAATTTTTTTTTTTTTGTGGATTATAATTTAGAGTTACTGTATTTCACTAACCTATTTTAAGACTTTTTATTTACTTTAAATTACCTTTTACATAATGGCTCATCACAGTCCTAAAATATGAATGTTACAGACTCTTGAAATGTCTCACATTAGGTCAAGAGTTTCATTTTGAGGCTATATAAAGTCATGTATGTTGTATTCAGATGTAGTAAAAGGAGCATTTGTCATTTCCTGTAGCCAATGACTAAGATTTTTGCAATTTTACGTAGGTTAGGTTGCATGTATAATCATTCAAGCTTGACATGATCGATCTTGATTGTAGAGGGATTCGAATCTCAAACAAGTGTTATTGTCTTGAAATATTCGATGAATAAGGTAATCTAAATCTTACTCCCTGGTAGAGATTTCCATATCGCTCGATCATAATTAATTTTGAGGGACTAAAATTAAAATAGAAACGATATTTTAATCAATAAAATAAAAACACATGGGATATTGAAAGGAAAAAAAATGTCAAAAAAGGTGGCTATAAAATTCCATTTTATGAGTCAAAAAGAGGTGAGTGATTGAATTCCAAGTACCCCTTGTCACATTTTCTTTTATACATACCAATAAAGTCTTTGCTTGACAGTGTTACTCATATCGCTCGATTTAGAGAAAAATCTCTCGATCGCTTTCTCCCTATTAAATTGACATTTCTATCTGCAAATGCTAAAAGTCGGGGATTACAATAGGTTCACTTGTCTCCAAAACTTTAGTTGTATTTGTTAATATTAACTCGCGGGGTCTAATCATTTTAAGGATTTTGTCTTACAGGATTACAAATAGTTATTTAATGTAACGATTCGGAGTAATAGTCTTAAGTTGTGATGTTGTTGTTAGTCGTACATGAATGTCTTGTCTTAACCTGAAATAGAAGTAACACGTGATTTGAGTATTTAAAGAGATACTCAGTAAGTGGCTCCACTATTAGAGTTAAATGCAAGAATATGCGAATGCAATGACGGGACCTATCATAACCGTCTATTTTCCTATGGTACTATTTGAATGGGTAACTTGAATGTGTATCATATACTCTACACACAACCCATACGTGTGAGTATGGATTCACCATTCAGTTCGCACACTGCTGGGCCACTTTCCTTGTCAGATGAATATTCTGAGAGCTCCTTAGGTCGGACACCCGTTAAAACTAGTAACCGTCATGACAACATTATGTTAAACATAATGATCGTTTTCCTATCTGACCATCGCAACACTATGTTAAACATAATGATCATTTTCCAACTTGGTCATCACAACATTATGATAACCATAATGATCGTTTTCCTACATCATAACGTACACGTTCGTACTATCGTGAAGGGTGAGGGGTATCCCATAAGGTCCCAACATTTTTCCATTTTCATTATCATTTAATACAACCCCGATAGCATTCCCATACATATCATATCGTTTTTCATATCATTTCACATTTCGGTTTTGCATGTCAAACGTATCATATTATTCAAATTACATAAATATATGATATCATAACATTCCATGCTTCCAAACATAACAATTTTCATCATATGCATGTCATACCATACCGTAACATATCGTATCACAATATTTCATATCATAAACATACCAATTTATCACATATTTCATATCATTTTCATATATATATGTCGTATCATAATCATATCATATCATATCATAAATACTTTGCAGTCATATCATTCCCTAATTTATCATATCTTTAACATTCTTATACTTATCATAGTCATATCGTTACATGAACGTACCTTAATTATATCGTTACAAAAACATATCCTAACGCTATCGCTCTATCAATCTATCATAACTCTTTCTACTCATAAACTAACTATATTTTTTTATCAATCGATCGTGACCATATCATTTTTATAAATCTCTTATGTCCACAACACTTCGATACGTAACCTAACCTTTCTGTTTCATCAACATATCTTACTCCTATCATTACATTACGTTTAGTGCATCCTTCTTGTATCATATCTCAAACATATCATTGAACACATCGGTAAGTATTATCATGCAATTCACATATTATAACATATACATATTATGTCATAAGCATATTGATCCATAAACAATTTACATATATCAATATATATGACATGTGTGACACGTGTCAATATCAAATATAATCATATCTCAAATATAACCATATTGATAGGACGATTAACTTAACCACTTGCCTGATTAATTTAAGCTGGTGTCACCAAGGACACACCGGATGGATGTCCTTAACAAAACCTGTAAAATAAATACAAACTATTAATTTACCTACATTAGTTATTCTACGTAGCAATTGTTATCTTAGATATTCTTAAACATTTTTCGACTAAATTTATAGTTTAACTTAACATCAAGTCAGTATAGTACTAAGTATTTTGGTAATATATACTCAAATTGGTCAGTAATGTACAACTAATTTAATAAAGTGCTTGAATCTTGACTATATTCTAATCAATTTTATATTGAATTTTGGAAGAATGATATGGGAAAACGTACCTCAAATCCACACACTTTTTTTTGTTCCCTTCAACAAAATTGTTCCCAATACGTTCAAGGAAGCTTCTTCACAGTTTGCGTCTCCCAATTCTCTTTCTCCACCGGTTTCCTTTCTGTGAACACGATGATCCTCAATTTTCCACGGCCTTTTCTCTTCAATTTCTTCTCTCTCCCATTTTCCGCCTTCCTCTTACTCTCCCATGTCTAATTCACTCAACCCTCCACCACTTCCCGCCGGCAAACACTCCGGCCGCCCCCCTTCTCTGGTGGGTCTCCGCCACTTCCTCCTCCTCCTCCTCCTCCTCCTCCTCTTCCTCTGTTCACTTTCTCTCTCCCATGGCGATGAACTTCAGCCACTTTTGGACCTCAAGTCCGCCCTCCACAACAACTCAACCTCCATGGCTCTTAGTTCTTGGGTAAGAGGGAAAGATGTTTGCAGCAGCTTCCATGGCATTGTCTGTGATTCCAATGGCTTTGTTGTGGAAATCAATCTCTCTGCTCATAACTTATCTGGGATTCTTCCTTTTCATTCCATTTGTTCTTTGCAGTCTCTTGAGAAGCTCTCTTTTGGTGGTAATTTTTTGTATGGGACAGTCAGTAATGCCTTGAGGAACTGTTCCATGTTGAAGTATTTGGATTTGGGACAGAATTTCTTTACTGGTGAAGTGCCTGATTTGTCTTCTTTGGAGAGATTAAGGTTCTTGAATTTGAATAACAGTGGTTTTTCTGGAGATTTTCCTTGGAAATCTCTTCTGAATCTTACTGATTTGGAGTTCTTGAGCCTTGGAGATAATTCATTTAACCCAACAACTTCATTCCCATCAGAGATTATTGAGCTTAACAAGCTTTATTGGCTTTACCTCTCTAACTGCAGCATTCATGGAGAAATCCCACCTGGGATTGGGAACCTCTCTCTGCTTGAGAATCTTGAGCTCTCACAAAATGAACTTACAGGTGAAATTCCTTCTCAGATTGTGAATCTCAGGAGGCTATGGCAGCTGGAGTTACACGAGAATTCCTTAACCGGGAAGCTTCCGATCGGGTTCGGTAACCTCACTGGACTGAGGAAATTTGATGCCTCTACTAATAATCTTGAAGGTGATCTTATGGAGTTGAGGTTCTTGACCAATCTGGAGTCCTTGCAGCTCTTTCAAAATCGATTTTCCGGTACGATTCCGGAGGAGTTCGGGGACTTCAAGGAGCTTGTTGAACTATCTCTTTACCAGAACAAGCTCACTGGCAGCCTGCCTCAAAGAATTGGATCTTGGGCAGCCTTCCTTTTCATTGATGTTTCAGAGAATTTCTTATCTGGACCTATACCTCCAGACATGTGCAAGCAGGGCAGTATGACTGTTCTCCTGATGCTGCAAAACAACTTCAGTGGTGGAATCCCAGAAAGCTATATGAACTGTAAATCTTTGAAGCGTTTTCGTGTAAGCAATAACTCTCTTTCAGGTGTCGTTCCTGCTGGGATTTGGAGTCTGCCGAATCTTAGCATCATTGATCTTTCAATGAATCAGTTTGACGGTCCAGTGACATCTGATATCGGTAAAGCAAAAGCTCTTGCCCAGTTATTCTTATCGAACAACCGGTTTTCTGGAAGACTACCGGCCGAGCTTGGCGAAGTATCGTCCTTAGTCTCGATCCAGGTCGATTTGAACCAATTTGTTGGTCCAATACCAGAATCACTTGGCAAGTTGAAGGTCTTAGACAGCCTTTCTTTGAACAACAACAAGTTTTCAGACAACATACCTAGCTCATTAGGCTCTTGCAGTTCTCTTTCTACCATAGATCTGTCTATGAATTCGTTCTCGGGGCATATTCCAGAGAATCTTGGATATCTGCCAATTCTAAACTCCTTGAATCTGTCGAACAACGAACTTTCAGGCGAAATTCCAACTAGTTTTTCACAGCTGAAGCTAAGCAGTTTCGACCTGTCTAATAACAGGTTAAGTGGCCAAGTACCTGAATCACTAGCAATCCAAGCCTTTGAAGAAAGTTTCATGAGAAATCCAGGCTTGTGCAGTGAGTCTATTAGATACTTGAGTTCATGTTCATCAACTTCTAGACCATCCAGCCACATCAGGTCGTTGCTGTCATGTACCATTGCTGGAATTCTAGTGTTGCTGCTCATGTCCTTCTTGTGCTTGTTGTTTGTTAAATCGAAACGTAACAATGCTAAGCATTTACTGAAATCCCGATCATGGGATATGAAGCCATTCCACATAGTTTGCTTCACGGAGAAGGAAATCATTGATTCAATCAATTCTCACAACTTGATAGGCAAAGGAGGATCTGGAAATGTGTACAAAGTTGTATTAAGTAATGGAAAAGAGCTCGCCGTGAAACATATATGGCAGTCGAGCTCCATCGACCAAACAAATTGTCAAACCAGTGCAACCATCTTAACCAAAAGGAAGATCAGGTCATCTGAATATGACGCAGAAGTAGCTACATTGAGTTCAGTGAGACATGTCAATGTAGTGAAATTATACTGTAGCATTTCGAGCGAGGATAGTAACCTGTTGGTTTATGAGTACTTACCGAATGGAAGTTTATGGGATCAGCTGCATACTAGCAGAAAGATTGAGATGGGATGGCAGATAAGGTACGAGGTTGCGGTTGGAGCAGCAAGAGGACTCGAATATTTGCATCATGGGTGCGACCAACCCGTGATTCACCGTGATGTGAAGTCGAGCAATATTTTATTAGACAGTGATTGGAAACCTAGGATAGCAGATTTCGGGTTAGCCAAGATTCTGCAAGATGCCTGTGGGGGTGGAGATTCTTCTCATGTCATAGCAGGAACACTCGGCTACATAGCCCCAGGTTAGTCAAATGGAATTCACAAAGAAAAACAAAAATACTTAAAAGAGAAAAAGGCGAATTTAATTACCTCCGACTTTACTTTGATGTCACAGAATATGCATACACGTGCAAGATAAACGAGAAGAGCGACGTTTACAGCTTCGGAGTGGTCCTAATGGAACTAGTAACAGGAAGGAAGCCCAATGAGCCAGAGTTTGGGGAGAACAAAGACATTGTACAATGGGCACACAGCAGAATGAGAGACCTAAAAGGCAATCTGAAAGATATGGTAGATCCTAGCATCTCAGAGGTTCAAGTGGAAGATGCAATCAAAGTGTTACGAATCGCACTTCGCTGCACGGCTAAGACTCCGTCTACAAGGCCCTCCATGAGAATGGTAGTTCATATGCTTGAAGAAGCTGAACCTTGTAACTTTATTGACATTGTTGTCAAGAAAGAATGTGCAAAGTAAACACAAAACTCGTGTTTAGTCCTATTAGGATTTCAAGCCTTTCTCAAGAAGCTAGCAAACTGGAGGTTAGATCCCTGTAGGCTGGGAAAAAAGGGTTTTTGCCCTCTCCTTTTTCCTGTTTTCCTGCCTTTTGCTTCATTAGTAGGAAGCATCTGTAACAAACATGTCAATCAATTAAGTTCCAGTTGAACAATCATAAAGTTTGTAGAAAGCAATCATTGCACGACAAAAGTATTAATTAGTATTTATTGGCTATGAAGAATCACAGATTAGCCACCACCTTTTTTCCTGCTAAACACTATACCTACTTTAGCTACAAGAAGTTCTGCCTTCTTTTTAAATGGTATGCTCTACTTATCCAAACTTGACAGAAAGATGAGAAAGATGAGAACAAAGTGCTATTCGACTATTTAGAGTAAAAAGTTGTAGAGAGTCTGCTGTCTATTCGACTATTTATAGTAAAAAGCTATAGAATATCTTTAAACAATATATATATCTATCCTTAGGCAGTACTTTGAAGATGTACTATGTTCGGTGTACCCTTTAGCCAACATTCCTTCTTGCATTTTCTCTCTCCTATTTTTGGTAGACAAAAGTCATGGCTATAAACCTTTAGCTGATATTCCTCCTTGCATTTTCTCTCTCCTATTCTTTGTGTTTATCAATACAAACCTTTAGCCAATATTCCTCTTTGCATTTTTCTCTCTCCTATTCTTGGTGTACATACGCCATCAATATAAACTTTTAGCCAATATTTCTCATTGCATTTTCTCTCTCCTATTCTTTGTGTTTATCTAAATGTGTTTTGTTGTGCAATACTAACACAAAGTAAGAGTATTATCTAGAGCACAAGGACATAGTTGTACAACCTATATAACAGATCCCCTTCAAAGTAAGGTCATAGAACAAAATAAAAGTACACAAAAATTCATTTTATGCACAATAATTGATTGATTATAATATATATTTAAAAATGGGTAGGGTACATAAATGGCATGCTATGCTTCAAATTCACAAAACTCTCACACACTCATGCTTAGAGACACAATTATGTATAATCTAAATGTAAGTTGCAGTAACACACAATTCAATGATTTAGTTGAACAGACCGAAAATAATTGATCATGATCACCTACGCCAATTTTCCTGAGCAACTCTCGTTGGTAAATGACTGTTATGAAGATTTGGCTCCTTTGGAGTAGTAGTTGGAGAAGGCCTTCTTTTTCGAGATATTGCATCTAATGGTTTTTTAGCATCTTTGTGACTCAATATTTTCAGAGGGGTTTCCTTCTTTGCACTGTGTTGGCGAGATGGTACCAGAGAAGTTATTTCTTCTTTAGTTGATACAACCCTTAAGAGAAGAGTTCCTTGTGTCAGAACATCATATGTTATGAGGGTTCAAATATTTAAAATTTTACCTACCTTCTTCTAGGCTTCCTAACTCTTTGCTGTATCCTTTCTAATTTAGTCCTTTTCAAATTCTCCTCTGTTTTCTTGGTTGCTCTCTCTTTGCTTAGTTCGAGCTGACGACAACGACTCTGTTTCTTGCGTTTTAAAGCAACACAACTTTGTGAATCCATTGTACATAACTTATGTTCAGAATCTACTTTTTTGTTGTTGCAGGAATCTGGTATTGTTCCTCCCTGTAAGCATCACAGATGTTAAATGCCTTTAGATTGGCAGATCTTGGAAAAAACAAACTAAACTAATTCTCTCTTGAGTATCAACTTACTCGTGGATCATCTGGGGCTTTGCTCTCTAATATCCTTTGTTCATATTCTTCTTCAACATCATTTTCACATTCAGAATTCTAACGAAAAGAAAAAGTAATTATATTTCTCTCTATCCACGGAGGAGGGATTTGAAAAACTTTTGATTGAAGAAAACTCACTTGGTTCGTGTATTTATTTTTTCTCTGCAACTTGTCGTCCCCATGGAACCTACGAGATGTAGTGATGTCTTTCAAGGGACAATTAGGCTTCTTCCCCAAGTTTGCTTCCCTTAGCACCCCTCTTTCCTAAAGCACCTAATGAAATCAGATTAGCATTTTGAAGAGATAAAGATGTAATAGTCTAAGCCCACTGCTAACCGATATTGTCTTTTTGGGCTTTCCCTTTCCGCTTACCCCTCAAGGTTTTTAAAACCCGTCTGCTAGGGGAGGTTTCCACACCCTTATAAGAAATGCTTTGTTCTCCTCTCCAACCAAGGTTTTCACACTCTTTTTTGGGCTTTCCCTTAGCACCCCTCTTTCCTAAAGCACCTAACGAAATTGGCATCCTCACTGGTACACCGCCTCGCATCTGGCCCCACTGCTAACTGATCTTGTCCTCTTTTGGGCTTTCCCTCAAGGTTTTTAAAACGGATCTGCTAGGGAGAGTTTCCACACCCTTATAAGGAATGTTTCGTTCTCCTCTCTAACCAACGTGGGATCTCAGATAAGATAATCTAATAATCTTGATGGTAGATGAGAGAGATCACATACATCAGTTCTGAGCCTGAATGGCTTGGGATTCGTGGACTTTGGTCTGCTGGGTTTCAGCCCATGAGAACCAACTACGGCAGGGGTAGATTTCTCTTTCACAGTGTTCTTTGATACTCCCTTGACCACCTGCACCGTTTTTAGCTATCATTACAGCAAGCAGAGACCGAAATGAATGGAGTAAAAACACCATAGTAAAAGGACCAGGTAAAAGCAGAGACCTTTGCTGTATTTTTAAATTTCTCATGTTTGCCAAATGCCACTCTTTCAGATCGGCCGTGAGAATTGTTTTCCCTGCGATTTTCCTTTCAACGAATCAATAATCAGAACAGCATATTCAACTTATATGCAAAATTAGAGCGGTTCATTACCTGTTATCATTGGGTGCGACATTTTCATCTGTGGTGGTTTCACTTTCATGCTCTATATGATTGCATTCTTGATTCTTCTCAAGCTCCACTTTGCACAGAATAGATTTGAGATCATTTGCTTCTGAAATTTTCTCATCTGGATCATCATCTATAGATTTTTTGGACACTTTATCTGTATTCTCGTTTAGAATCTCTGCAATTTGCAAAACCGTTTCATCCCGATCACCTTCATTCATTTCAGCTACATTTTCTTTATCATCACACTCCAGAAGTTCTGAAATATTCATCTCCAATGCACCTGTTTTGACTATCTCTTCACGATGGTATTCTTGGTTCTTATCATCCTCCACTTCACATAGAACAACCTCTTTTTCCGAAATTCTCTCATCAAAATTCGATATTGAAGTTTCATTAGAGTCTTCGGAAAAGCTATCTGAATCTTCAGATCTTAAAAGTTCATCTTGATTTCCTTCATTACTCTTAGCAGAAGTTGACATAGAGCACCCTTGTATTGAAACATGCCTTGATTTCTCATCAATATCCATGTTACTGGCATCATCATCAACAATTTCTTTGGCAACACGATCAGGAAGAGGCGGCTTTAGGTTCTTTTCTTTGCTTCTCTTCAAAACTCTTGCAGATTTGGCATCCTGGCATTTGCAACCGTGAACTCCCAATGAATCAAGAACCCGGCTCTTTACCTCGCGTCCTCTGAACTTCTTCCTCACAACATCCTGGGGCAATGACTGTCCATCCCCTAATACATTCTTCTTTCCACTAGTAATCTCAAGTTTCTTCATTGCTGCACACAAAGTTTTCACAGGGGTATTCATTTCTTTTGAACTTTTCTTTTTCCTATCTCTCTTTGGAGATTGAAAGACCAAAGCCTTAGCTACCGTTGTAGTCTTTGGCTCTTCAGCTGATGTTGTCTTGGAATTTTTAACACTCAGAAAAGAATTGGTATTGGAGTTAAGCTTCCTGTTCCTTGGAGTAGTCATTGCTTTGGCATGAGCTTGTGTCGTACTAGGCTTGGTAGTAGGCGGTCCAGATTTCACTCTAGCGTCCACAATCCTTTTGGAAATGGAAGATATCAGAGCTAGCCTTGCCACTCTAGGCCTCGAAGACTTTGGAGGGGCTGTAAGTGGGCATTTCAGGTTCCTAGTAGTTACACAAAATGATGCTAAATCTTATCATTCATGTGCAGAAGAAAGGTAAGAAAAATGTAAGAAGAAGAGAAATTTTGATCCTAACCTTCGACCTCTCTGAAGCCGTACATTCGGACTCCTCGCTGCCATTACCTGTTTGATTCAACACTTTCTTACATGAAAAACAATTAAGAAAGTAGAGAACCCGCTTGCAGAGGAACTCAATCAACAACATACCCGCATAACAAAGTTTTTGTAAACGACATCAGAGTCCATTTCTTCTGGATGCTTCTCTTCACACCCTACAATTTTAACGAAAAATAAAATTCGAGAGTGCAAAACGAAGAAAATTATTCTGTTCGTGTAAGAAATGAAAGAAATACAATCTTGACTTTGAATGGATAAGAATAGACATTATATATGGAACTAAAATAGTTATCAGAATGAACAACAATCCAAGATGATTTAAAGAAATTCATCTCTCAGCTACTCCAATTCAAAAATAGTTCAACAAAATTCAAACACTGCAACTCTTCTTCTTTTCCTCCTTTTGCAGCAGACCTAGTTCTCAAGGCAAAATCCGGAAACTCACACAATATCGGAGAAAAAAGAAAACAGAAAACAGTAACGGAATTCAAAAGATAACCAAAATGTAGTTCAGGTCAGCGATCGTCCGATAGTACAATTCCAACAGACTGAAGAATAAAAAACATCAAACCCTAAGCAACAGGAGAAGAGAAAAAAGAAAGAAAAATGAGAAGAAACAAACCGACTCGTGAGCAGAACCAGTAGCGATCATCGGGAATGTAGGGATCAGGAACGGTGAAGTCAACGAACTTAGGCGCTTCAATCATCTCGTAGAAATCTTCGCCTGAATCGTCACTGGTGGACAGCACAGCTTGAGTCTCCTCCATGGTGGTCACTGTAACTGAGAGAGAGAGAGAGAGAGAGAGAGAGAGAGAGAGAGAGTTTAACGATCGGAGAGAAATGAAGTTGTAGAGATGGCAAGGAAACAGAGGAGTAAGTTTTAAATCGGCGCGTTTCTGGATGTAGCCGTTGGAGAAAGGTCTCGGATTCGGACAGGACAGGGCTGATGGACGGGGGCATTTTCGGGATTTTGTATACCTTTTTGGTCCGAACCCGAATCCAATGGACCCGGACCAATGTATTTTTTCAGACAAAAAAAACCGTCTCACAACCCGGCCCAAATATTTGGGCTC